GGTTATTTAAAAAAAAAATGTCTCTGTAAAATTGTAAAATTATATATGACAATTGACGCTTGTTTAGTGTCAAACAATCGCTACTAAGGAAGTTGGTGACCTGATAAATAATAAATTGGTGGACAACGATGATAATTATGAGGACCTAAAGGTAGCAAATTTTTTGTCTGCAAGTTCTAACTTGCATGTGTAACAATCAGAGCATATTTGAAGAGACTCGGTAACGTAGATATTTGCTCCGTTTAATTAATGTATTTTGTATGCTTCATTTGGTAAAAAAGTTAATGATCATATATTCATAGCGAATTGGGAGTTGAGTATAAATATCAATAGTTTGGGGGGAAACTCATGAGTTAATTGTTTCAATAGTCACTGAACTTAGGTCCATATTTTTGATTGGTCACTAAACTTTAAAATGTCGAGTTTTGATCATCACATTTAGGTTCATGTCTTTTATTAGCAACTGAAGTTTAAATTGTCAAATTTTGGCCACTGAATTTTAAAAAATGTCGAGTTTTGATCACTGAACTTAAGTTTATGTCTTCGATTGCTCACTGAAATTTAAAATATCGAGTTTCGGCCACTGAACTTTGAAAAATATTGTACATTACTTATTGAACTTTGAAAAATATTGTACATTCTCACTGAATTTTGAAAAATATAGTGTATTATTCATTTTCAAAATTTAACAGTTATGCTAATGAGTAACGTACGGCATATTCAAAAGTTCAATGGCCAAAACTCAAACATTTTAAAGTTCAATAAGCAATTTAAGACATTGACCTAAGTTCGGTGAGCAATCGAAGACATTGACCTAAGTTCAGTGATCAAAACTCGACATTTTAAACTTCAGTGACCAATCAAAGATATTAACGTAAGTTTAGTGATTAAAACTCGATATTTTAAACTTTAGTGACCAATAAAAAACATCGACCTAAGTTTAATAATCAAAACTCGATATTTTTCAAAATTAATGACTAAAATTCGACATTTTAAAATTAACTAACCAATTAAAGACATGAATCTAATTTCAATGACTATTGGAACAATTAACTCGAAAGCTCGATATTGTTCCAAAATCACATGAACTAATATCAAACCCTAGTGTAGTCCCCCCGTCCACTGTCAGATCCACCCATTCAATCCTGTCCAAAAACCCAAACCCCTCCACCACCACCGCCACGACGACCAACGGTGATTGATTAGGCTGAACGAAAATAAGCAATGGCGGCGAAGTACGATTTGACACCACGAATAGCGCCGCAGTTGGACAGGCACCTGGTGTTTCCTCTACTGGAGTTCTTGCAGGAGAGGGGACTGTATGCAGAGGAGGATATTTTAAAGGCAAAAATAGAGCTTCTTAACAACACCAACATGGTCGATTACGCCATGGACATCCACAAGTCCCTCTACCACTCCGACGACGTCCCCAACGGTAAAAATAGAGCACATAGATATGTTTGTATAGATGTGTGTCTTCAACCTTTTTATTGGCTGCTGTTTGGTTAGACGGTTATTAGAAAATTGGGATCATCAGGGTTTCTGATTTGTTGGGTGCATTTTCAGAATGTGTGTATGTATAGGAGAGAGTGCTATTTTGGATGGACCGTTGCACTTCTTTTTATGACTGCTACATGACAATTTTTGTTCTCATGGATTTGATATTCTGGTGAATTTCAGAAACGGAAAAAAGAGAATTTGCTGGTCCACCTGAAAATACCACCACCCCATATTTACTTGGGAGACACGGTGAATTTGAAAATCAGATGGGGACTCATTTACCTATTTTTGTAACTGATGGTTAATACGCAGATTATATGGTTTCTAGGTCTTGGTTGGTCGGGTATATTTAGGAGATGAAATTTTAATTCAGATGGTTCAGTTGACTCTTTTTTTCAGCTACTAGTCTGAATATATACGTGCTTGCTGAACTTGGGCTCTTATAACTTGATTATGTGCGGGTATGTGGAGGGATTAATGTCTCATGTGCGAAGATCCTTAATATTAGCTCACATCCAATTTGGAGTCTTGATTTCGAACTGTGAATATAAAATTATTTCAAATTAGACATTCTTATGTGCAGATTTGTGCATGTTGATATAGTAACGGAGTAGATTTAGAGCCTGTTTGAGAGTGATTTTAAGAATTGATTTTTTGACCGTTAGGAGAAAAGTAGGGTCGATCTGTGAGAAAAGAAGTCAAATATGACGGCTGAAATAGTGAAATAACGGTCAAAAAATCAATTTTTTGGAGGGAAAAATTATTCCCAAACAGGCTATTAGTATTGATTCTACATTTTTTCTTATTTCGTTTTATTGACCCAAAACGTGGGGATTCTGTTCACGGGATGCCATCTTTTTCCATGTTATGTTATTCCTTGGGTCTTATGGCTTCAAGTTCCAGTCCATCATTGCTTATCGAGACATTATTTTATGGTTTTAAGGTTCCTAAATGTCTTGAGATGCAGTGTGGAGGGCTTGTGTTTGAGTTGATTTCTGAACTTTCTTTCTCTCTATCTCTCTCTCTGCTTTAGAGATGGTGGAAAGGAGAGTTGAGGTGGTGGCCAGGCTGAAATCACTGGAGGAGTCTGCGGCTCCTATCATAACTTTTCTGCAGAATCCAAATGCTACTGCGGGACTGGTGGAGTGACCACTAAACTGACGGAGACGACACAAACACTTAGGCGATAAGCACTTCGAGCAACTAAGCAAGCCCTTGATTGTATTTCAGATTTTGGGGATTTTTGGTTAATTGGATTGGATTGTGGATATTGGATATGTAAGTTGGGTTGGGTAATTGGATTTAAGAGTAAATGGATTGGGCTTGTTGGATAATGGTTTTGGGGCGCCTAGCCATGTGAAAAAAAAAGTTAAAAAAAAAATTATAGGGCTAAAATTAGGCCCCTTATGGTCTTGGGCCTGAGGCGCATGCCTCATTGGCCTCGGCCCAGGACCGGGTCTGACTAGATGATGTTAAGATGAACAAGATTTTAGCTTCTTGTTCTTCCTGGTTGAGTGCTATCAGTCCTCTATCAAACATGCATTACATTCGTAATTCTTCTGTGTACATCTAATGAATTTGTTCTCCTTATAGGCAATTTTTGAGCGATTTGACAGGGATAGGAGTGGCAAAATTGATGCTCAAGAATTGAGAGAGGCTCTCCTTAGCCTTGGATATTCAGTATCACCTGTGGTTTTGGATCTGCTGGTGACCAAGTTTGATAAAAGCGGTGGAAAAAACAAGGCTATTGAGTATGACAATTTCATCGAGTATGTTTCTCATTATGTCTCTTTAGATTTCACTGTACTTTCTTCTATTCCACATTATGTATGTATCTTCCAATTTTACTAATTTTTCTTTTTCAATGACCAGGTGCTGCCTCACTGTTAAGGTACACCATATTATGCCGTTCTCTTTTCCTTTTTCATGTTTGCTGTGCATTCTTTGACTGTTTGAATCTTTTGGTCCCGGTAAATTTTTAGGTCTATACATTTTCCAACATTGCATTGTATCTTTTGCAGGGACTGACTGAAAAATTCAAGGAGAAGGATGCTACCTACTCTGGTTCGGCGACCTTCACCTATGAATCCTTCATGTTGACCGTCATGCCATTCCTCATAGCATAGTGGAATGCACCTATCTTCCTTGTTTGAATCCCAGCTTTTGATTTTCTGCAGTCTGTGAATTCGAGAGTTCTTTGTTAACACTAACGGTATAATGTTTATGAGTTCATCAACTATGTGTTATTACTTTAGGGACGGTTATGATCGAGTCCACACTTGTTAAGAGTTCAGTTATGGGCATCTCTGTAGTTCAAACTGTTGCCACCCTACTTCGATAAAATGTATTCCTTAGATAATGCGTAAGTTTTCTATTTTATTTTGTTTGCTGATGTTCTAGATTTAGCTTTGTTATTCGTCGATATTATTTTGCTTATTTCTCTATATTTTTCGATTTTTTTTAATTTTAATTTAAATTCTATGGGGAGACAAATTTGGACGTTCTTATGTTACCAGACTGCATTTGTCTTTTACAATTGTATTTATGACTTGAAACCTTGAAACTTGCTCCTGGTAGGCATTGGATTTTGTTATCTTATATGATGCACAAACATCTGGTGGAAGAGGAAATAAATCAACCCAAGTTAGGTTAGGTAGGTAGTGTTGGGTTAGACTAGACAAAATAATGGGAAAAAAAATAATAATAAATTAATTTCTTATTTTTAATACTGCAAAATGATATCCAATCCTCGAAATTCCAGTAACATTTGTACCTAGATGTGGTGAGGTCAAGAAATTGATCGAGCTTGATATCTGGACTTTAGATGGTCATGAACATCGTTCTTGAGTACAAACAAATGTTGCCATACAATTTTTATGTAAGTATTTTGTTTGTCACGTGAATTGTTTTATTAGCTATGATAGATAGACGTTAATTCATGTATGAATGAGACTTAAATTTGTGATGTATGATTTTAATACAAAAATGAATTTACTCGAGGACTTGTTACATGTAGTAAAATTCACGTATAGTGTTGATACAAAGGTAACGTTTATTTATCATTGGCGTAATTAATGTATCAAGTGCGTGTCATGTAATTGCCACGTAGAAACTCTATTTGTCTCACAAAATTATTTTGTTAATTTTGATAGACGAATGTAAATTTATAAATAGAATACAAATTTGTAAGTTCATTTGTGATTTAGACATAAAGCCGAGTTTATGTATGATATTGATACAAAAGATTCTAATGTACTTTTCATTATTTAAACCTTCTCTTGGCCAGTATTTTGTGCTAAATATATTGTAATTACTTTATATATGTACTATCTTTTAACAATTGCGTATTGATATAGTCATTAGCTAACTTTTCAAATAGTGTAAAACACACGCTGGATAAAATAATCGTGCGAAGTTGGTACCCGTAATCAGAGTTACCTATGACCCTTTCTTACTAATTGATTCAAATTCAAAAAATTGGTAGTCACATTTATTCCTTTTTATTTGCACCTGGAGAGAGTGTGACTCCTCTTAGAAGGGTCGTAGATATCATATACAGATGGTTATTTAAAAAAAAAATGTCTCTGTAAAATTGTAAAATTATATATGACAATTGACGCTTGTTTAGTGTCAAACAATCGCTATTAAGGAAGTTGGTGACCTAATAAATAATAAATTGGTGGACAACGATGATAATTATGACGACCTAAAGGTAGCAAATTTTTTGTCTGCAAGTTCTAACTTGCATGTGTAACAATCAGAGCATATTTGAAGAGACTCGGTAAAATAGATATTTGCTCCGTTTAATTAATGTATTTTGTATGCTTCATTTGGTAAAAAAGTTAATGATCATATATTCATAGCGAATTGGGAGTTGAGTATAAATATCAATAGTTTGGGGGGAAACTCATGAGTTAATTGTTCCAATAGTCACTGAACTTAGGTCCATATTTTTGATTGATCACTAAACTTTAAAATGTCGAGTTTTGATCATTACATTTAGGTTCATATCTTTTATTAGCCACTGAAGTTTAAATTGTCAAATTTTGGCCACTGAACTTTAAAAAATGTCGAGTTTTGATCACTGAACTTAAGTCTATGTCTTCGATTGCTCACTGAAATTTAAAATATCGAATTTCGGCCACTGAACTTTGAAAAATATTGTACATTACTTATTGAACTTTGAAAAATATTGTACATTCTCACTGAATTTTGAAAAATATAGTGTATTATTCATTTTCAAAATTTAACAGTTATGCTAATGAGTAACGTACGACATATTCAAAAGTTCAATGGCCAAAACTCAAACATTTTAAAGTTCAATAAGCAATTTAAGACATTGACCTAAGTTCAGTGAGCAATCGAAGACATTGACTTAAGTTCAGTGATCAAAACTCGACATTTTAAATTTCAGTGACCAATTAAAGACATTAACGTAAGTTTAGTGATTAAAACTCGATATTTTAAACTTTAATGACCAATAAAAAATATTGACCTAAGTTTAATAATCAAAACTCGACATTTTTCAAAATTAATGACTAAAATTCGACTTTTTAAAATTAACTAACCAATTAAAGACATGAATCTAATTTCAATCACTATTGGAACAATTAACTCGAAAGCTCGATATTGTTCCAAAATCACATGAACTAATATCAAACCCTAGTGTAGTCCCCCCGTCCACTGTCAGATCCACCCATTCAATCCTGTCCAAAAACCCAAACCCCTCCACCACCACCGCCACGACGACCAACGGTGATTGATTAGGCTGAACGAAAATAAGCAATGGCGGCGAAGTACGATTTGACACCACGAATAGCGCCGCAGTTGGACAGGCACCTGGTGTTTCCTCTACTGGAGTTCTTGCAGGAGAGGGGACTGTATGCAGAGGAGGATATTTTAAAGGCAAAAATAGAGCTTCTTAACAACACCAACATGGTCGATTACGCCATGGACATCCACAAGTCCCTCTACCACTCCGACGACGTCCCCAACGGTAAAAATAGAGCACATAGATATGTTTGTATAGATGTGTGTCTTCAACCTTTTTATTGGCTGCTGTTTGGTTAGACGGTTATTAGAAAATTGGGATCATCAGGGTTTCTGATTTGTTGGGTGCATTTTCAGAATGTGTGTATGTATAGGAGAGAGTGCTATTTTGGATCGACCGTTGCACTTCTTTTTATGACTGCTACATGACAATTTTTGTTCTCATGGATTTGATATTCTGGTGAATTTCAGAAACGGAAAAAAGAGAATTTGCTGGTCCACCTGAACATACCACCACCCCATATTTACTTGGGAGACACGGTGAATTTGAAAATCAGATGGGGACTCATTTACCTATTTTTGTAACTGATGGTTAATACGCAGATTATATGGTTTCTAGGTCTTGGTTGGTCGGGTATATTTAGGAGATGAAATTTTAATTCAGATGGTTCAGTTGACTCTTTTTTTCAGCTACTAGTCTGAATATATACGTGCTTGCTGAACTTGGGCTCTTATAACTTGATTATGTGCGGGTATGTGGAGGGATTAATGTCTCATGTACGAAGATCCTTAATATTAGCTCACATCCAATTTGGAGTCTTGATTTCGAACTGTGAATATAAAATTATTTCAAATTAGACATTCTTATGTGCAGATTTGTGCATGTTGATATAGTAACGGAGTAGATTTAGAGCCAGTTTGAGAGTGATTTTAAGAATTGATTTTTTGATCGTTAGGAGAAAAGTAGGGTCGATCTGTGAGAAAAGAAGTCAAATATGACGGCTGAAATAGTGAAATAACGGTCAAAAAATCAATTTTTTGGAGGGAAAAATTATTCCCAAACAGGCTATTAGTATTGAGTCTACATTTTTTCTTATTTCGTTTTATTGACCCAAAACGTGGGGATTCTGTTCACGGGATGCCATCTTTTTCCATGTTATGTTATTCCTTGGGTCTTATGGCTTCAAGTTCCAGTCCATCATTGCTTATCGAGACATTATTTTATGGTTTTAAGGTTCCTAAATGTCTTGAGATGCAGTGTGGAGGGCCTGTGTTTGAGTTGATTTCTGAACTTTCTTTCTCTCTATATCTCTCTCTGCTTTAGAGATGGTGGAAAGGAGAGTTGAGGTGGTGGCCAGGCTGAAATCACTGGAGGAGTCTGCGGCTCCTATCATAACTTTTCTGCAGAATCCAAACGCCGTTCAAGAATTAAGGGCTGACAAACAGCACAATCTTCAGATGTTGAACGATCGTTATCAGGTTAGGATTCATATAGTTTGGAC